GGGAAGTATCGGAACAGCCCCTTGATTATTTCTCAATTGCAAATTCATTGATTATGAAACGATKGTTTTTTTTGTTTTTTTTCTTATTTGTTTTTTTTCATTTTTTTTATTTTTTTGTCAACTTTTCAATCCAAAGAAAGGAGGTGGGTGCATGAGGTGACAGGACTTTAGGCCCAACGGCTCAGGTTGGGATTCATATATATATATATATACCCGGCCGGGCAAGTGGTCCCAGGCCACTCTGGTAACCTAGGTAGACGAGCGTTTCCTGGATCAATGACTGGTCAAAATGAGCTTTGGCACTTCACTATCAGCCTAGTATCAGGCCCAGACTCACATTCAATTCAAATTAACGGTCATGTTTATAGCCCATTGAGCTCCAGCAGTCAGTGGACCAAGGAGACCCACTGGCACCCTATTTGTGTACCATTATCACAGATGCGAGGAACGAGCCCTCACGGGGCCCTATCAGACACCACATGTTCTGGGCAAAGGCCCCCAGCAAGCCGAGTGTCTGCCCTAAGTGAAGGCGGGCCTAAGTGAAGGCGGGCCTAAACATTCGTCAGAGGCCAAAATTCGACGCTTTTATATGTGGGTATTCAGGCTCTTGCAGCACGCCAGTTGGTTGAGTGGACGCGTGAGCCTCACTAAGCTGCGTAGCCCTCATGGGGCCNGACGCTTTTATATGTGGGTATTCAGGCTCTTGCAGCACGCCAGTTGGTTGAGTGGACGCGTGAGCCTCACTAAGCTGCGTAGCCCTCATGGGGCCCTATCAGACACCACATGTTCTTGGCAAAGGCCCCCAGCAAGCCAAGTGTCCGCCCTAAGTGAAGGCGGGCCTAAGTGAAGGTGGGCCTGAACATTCGTCAGAGGCCAAAATTTGACGCTTTTATATGTGGGTATTCAGGCTCTTGCAGCACGCCAGTTGGTTGAGTGGACGCGTGAGCCTCACTAAGCTGCGTCGTACAATTGGCCCAGGCCTTGGCAGTTGCGCCTGGGCACATACACACAAAGCAGGGCCGATACATCATGAAGCGGCCATCGGCCTATGCAAAAGCAGTACTGTCGACGCACCTACCCCGGGGCCCTGAACAAATGTAGCAAACGGCCCAAGTCCGGAGACTCAGGCCGTGCCCAACTGTAAAGGGGCCAGGCCCTCAACTGTAGTCTCGGGCCTGGGCGCAGGGACTGAGGCCCAACTGGAAGCTACTGGAAGCTTCTAGCCAGGCCACATGCAGCATCCAGGAGGCTGCCACTTCCATATAGAGAGTGAGGCAGCCCAGGCCAGGCATTCTGGCCTGCGTAGGCAATGCGGACACGCTGCTGCGCTGCGGCCAAGGGCGCTGGCGGGGCGCGTAGAGGTGAAGTGGGGCGCTGCAGGGCAGCGGTGCGCTGGCAGCCATAGCCTGGCTGCTGGGCGCTAGGGGGTAATGCGGGCGATCTGGTGGTCTTCAGGGAAGGAGGCGAGTGTGGGTTATCAAGGTCTGATGAGGGTGACGAGATACGTACCTGGTGCATGAAGAGAGGTCGGCTATGGTGTTGACATCATGTACATTGGTCTTCCAGAGTCGAAGTGAGCCTGTTGCGTGAACACAGCTGTAGGTAGGATGGTCGAGTAGAGTAGGCTGGGCGCTGGGCGCCAGACAGAGAGGGGCGACTTTGGATACTGTGTTGGTGTGGCCTTAGGGCTTGAAAATTGGCTCATTACTTCATTGAATTGCTCTATTTGGATGGATTCTCGGTGCAATTGTGCTCTCTGCTTGTACACGATTACTTGGACGTCTGTGCGATTTCGCAACTTGGTTTTCTGTATATCGTTCACACTCACATTCCTTGCACAGAGGGCAGTGGCGGCCAAACGAAGGGAGAACGCATCCTTGCAATGCATTCAGGTCTCGGGCCCACCCAATGATGCGGCTCCGATTCCCTCAATCTTCACGGCCAACATGACGGTCCGCTGACGGTTACCACCAGCTTAACCGTTGCATGTTTCGAAGAACTGAAAAGGGTCATGGATAAGTTTTGCTCTCTCTCTCAGACATGTTGGTCACCTGGGGGACAAAATCTGAGCGATGGTTGTCTATACAGAAATAGTGGCATACCTCGGAATGTGTTCGTATATGTCTTTTTTTTTTTTTTTTTTTTTTTTTTTTTTCTAATTGGAACAATGCTCCAATCTATTCGTGGGGAGGAACACGTGCTGGGAACCATGTGTTCCCCGGGATGAGCCCACTCAGGTCTTCGGAATAAACCTGACTTCCGTTGCCAAACCTCCTCCACCTCATATGCTTTGCTCCCTATGGCTACTACTTTGAGCCTACCTTTGCCCTTAGCTTCCTGGTTGACCATTACACCCTACAGCTTTGATTTTTTTTTATTTTTTTTTTTTCTTTAATAGCTTGACTCTACCTTAGCATGCCTCGGCTGCTCTCTTACCTTAGCATGCCTGTGCTGCTCTCTATGTGATTGTGTTAACCTACCGTTCTTTTTTTCTTTTCTTTTTTTTTAACAAGAAAACTTCACATGTCGGGAAGCCCACTTAAGTGGGTCCCAGCGTTGAAGGCTGCATATATTGGTGGGGAGCTACACATGCTGGAAATCGGGTTCAGCGTCTCTGTACATGGTGTGTGTCTGCTGGAAATCGGGTCCAGCGTCCCTGTACAAATGACGTGTGAGGATGTTGTAGATGTGTGAGGATGTTGTAGTAGTTGTACTTTGTATCCGATATACTGTGTGAGTGTGATTGTAAAGTCTGAATATCTGTCTGTATATGCCGTATGGAGCTCCTTTCCACCACGTCTACCATGTTAACCTACCGTCCTGCTGGGAAATAAAAAATAGAGAAAAATAAAACACCGGAAAAGGAAACCCACCAAAGAATGAAAATATGAGACAATGAGCTCACTAATTTCTGTGCACACATGCAAGCAGTCATCTCCAAGCTTCATGGTTTGGTTTGTGCTTTCCCTGATCACAGGCGTGAGGTGGACCAAATACTGGATCGTCACCTGGGCGAGAGAACACTAGCTGCGCTTCGTGACCTCAGTAAAACACGGGCAAAAGCAATGGTGCAGCAAGCGGTCACAGTGGATGACGTTCGCACGGCACTTCTGCGAGCCAAAGGGGAGTTAACGGAAGACCTGGTTAACAATGTTCTTCATGCCTTCAACAAGAATGCCTCAAACAGGTAATTCATGGCTCCGCTGTGAAAAAAAAAAAAAAAGTAACAGTATATTGTGTCAATCTTGCTCTGAAGCTAGGCTACCAGAATGGCCCGGGACCACTTGCCCGGCCGGGCCAAAAATAAGTAAAAAAATATAAAATGTATAGTTTGTCACAGCCCCTCGTTTGTTGTCCTCTTCTCTCTCTCTGCCTACAGTTTACTGGGCAGTTCTGTTTGTGACGATATATATATATATATATCGTCACATTTTTTTTTTTTAATTTGGTAAAGAATTTCGATGTGACCCTGAGGCAAAAGTTGTTTAGGTTATTTTTCTGCAGAA